ACTGTATTGTTTGTTTTCCTGCATTATCACCTAAACACTCCATCATCACACATGGGGTGTCAAGACTAAGTTGGGGAAAGAAATATCCTACGAAAATAACTATAGTCCGCCAATAAATGATGACTATATTGTTACAGAAAAGACGCACAGTAAAACTTCGATTAAGCGTCACTCTTTTAATCGTCGGTTTCTATTATCCGTCATGGTCTGAAAACGTAGGTTTATAGTACAGTCCGACCTCGAAAATCCGTACTTCTAAAATCCGGAAACCTCCGAAAACCGGGCGATTTTTTTCAACTCATGACGAGAAAAAAATTTGCTAAATAAATTTTAAACTAGAACGCTTGAGGCAAGGTACGGAAATTCCAGTCATACTATTCATTTTAAACTACTATTTTTTTGTCTTTGTATCATTTTTTAATGTCTCTTTATGTTTTTAATGTTTAAAACGTGTTTTTATATGGAGTTGTTGGAACTGACGTCAACGTGTAGATCAACATACGTCTCGATTGGTTGAGCATGCGCAAACGTCAGAGGCGTTACCAAGGCAACCATTTGCGGTTGCCTTGCGACTTCCTCGTCTGTTCTGAAGACGTCTGCACATGCGCGCTTAATTGTGACGTAACTTACCTACACGGTGACATCAGAGCTTTGACATCTCTATAGGTTTAAGCAAGATACATAAAATTCGGAAATTTCCGAAATCCGGACCTTCCAAATCCCCGAGCAGTTCGGGTTTTCGAGGTTGTACTGTATTAACATTTATTATATAACATATGGTATAGTACATTTGTGTAAATTACTGCTCTTAATTCGAAGTTTTATATTGATAATTTCGTAAAATTAAATACAATATGCATGTATTTTTCACTTTTAAAAGATTTTATTTTCATTTTCAACCCAAGCCAGCAGTGAAATCATGTTATTGCACATGCGCATGAAGAGACTTCTGTTATTCGTCTATTCGGTTATACGTCACAGACCTGGTCCGGACGATGACGATTAATCGAAGTTTCACTGCACTTCTACTTGACTGCCACAAAATGTGCCAATAACTCGTTGAAAAACGGTTATTAATCTTTTTATCACGTTATAAAATGCATTTTTTGTTGTCATAACAATTTCTCTTGTATGTTTATGGATGTAATAACAGATTCTTTTTATCTTGGACCAGTTGTAATAAAGGTGATGAAACTTTTTATCTCTCTGATGGAAGAAACAATTTTGTGTTTTTCTATGTAATATTCTTTCTATATCTTTATGTGATGAAATAGCTTTTTAAATATGGCAAATATTTTTGTCATGTTTGAGTGTAACTTGTGATTAAAAGTGCTTTTGGAAAATTAATACGTACGAAAAGTTATTTGACTATCCACTTTTTCAGAGCCGGCCCGAACAAAAGCGGGGCCTGGTGCAAAGTTGATCTGCGGGGCCTTGAAACAAATTTTGTACAACAAAATAATTTATTGCTTTTTTGCTATTTATTGCATTGCACAGTTTGGTATAGTTACGATTAAATGAATACATGAAAATGATAAATAATTAAATTATTTGTGAAAAGTTAATATTTCAATCACACACAAAATCGTTGATAAATCAAATAAAAAAGTAATTGCTTCACAAATCGCAAATGCAACATGCGAGTTATTAGAATAAGTTTACAATATATGATTATTTGTCTTATTTTCTTGCATGTTTTATAGCAAATGCCTTGATAATATCATCGCGATTTAGTTTTTGGATATAAAGATCGGATAGATAAAATGGCTAAACAAATCAATTGTTCTTCACTAATGCTAGATCTCGAAGTTATTCTTATTATTTTTAATCTTCCTGCAGATGGGCCGGTAATTGATAAAGTCAATATAATTTTTGAACAGAAGCAAAATGGATACAATTCAAATAAATTATTTTGATATAAATATTGTAAGATTTGTAATATTATGTCCTGGAAGACAAAACTTGACATCAAATTTTGATTACGTTAAATAAATCAATGCAATTCAATTCATTTTCGTTTTGCAAAATCTGTACGCTCGCATCGTTCAAAACTTCCTCGGGCCGGCCCTGCACATTTTAATATCATTTAACCGTAACCTACTTATTCTGTGTTTCTCTGTGAAATTTCAAAGTACACTATTCAGTAGAGAAATACAGGGGGTGATTCAAAATTCAACGATCAGATTGTTATGGGAGATAGGAAACACAAAAACCAAGAAAAAACCGTAGGGAAGTGTGACCAGAAACACCAACTAGATGAGATAGGGGGCGCTGTTCACCAGCTATCCAGTTGGATATACAAGGAGCATGCAAGAAACAGTTAATGAATGTTGAGAGGACAGTTATGCGTATTGTGTTTGAAAGTCTTGACGGCTATGGGAAGGGACCATGAAGTGAATGATAACCAAACTTTTTATAAATCTCATCCAGCAATGCTCAAACAAATGGTTTAATTAAACCTTAGCGGTTTTCTTAGCCTTCTAATTTGCATTCTTTGAGAATTAATGAAGACCACAACAAATAAGTGATTTGTATTGTTATTCAATAACGGGTTTTGACAATATGAGACCGAGGTCATGTGTCGGTCCAGGCGAAAATTGGTGCCGGCTTGCGGTCCCTTCCAAAATTCCACTTCATAAAAACGGCCCTTCACAAAATTCCACTTTATAAAAACGGCCCTTCACAAAATTCCACTTCATAAAAACGGTCCTTCACAAAATTCCACTTCATAAAAACGGCCCTTCACAAAGTTCAAATTCATAAAAACGGCCCTTCACAAAATTTAAATTCATAAAAACGGCCCCTTCACAAAACTCAAATTCACGTAAAATATAGAAATTTGACTTCTAAAATTGAAGGTTTTACAAGATAAAAAAAAAATTCACAAAAATATTTTTATTTTACACAAAACTATTTTTTTTCCCCACAAAAATGGGCCCTTATCTGGATCGACCCCTGGAGGTCACAGGCGAAAAATTGTTTTGATGTCCCTTCCCCTACCCAAAGTCATACACCATCGACTTAACACTTCGATGAGCGTCAAATAGATTTAAAGTACATTTCCGAGAATCGTAGATTTTTTTTAAAATTCTTGACTGTGAATTAAGTTGCAAGCAACTATTTAATTTTTTAATACTGACCTCTTTTGATTTCTTAAGTGCAGAAGATGTGATCTGGCCACTGTTCAAAATTACGAGGTCCGTCTCAAAATATCCCTCGTGTCGCTTCAAAACAGGACGTTAACCCTCTGTCTACTTATTTTTTTAAAAATCATTATTTAGATGCAACGTTTGCAAACATGTTCAACTACCGTTGAGCCAAGCAGGATGTTATTTATATGCAAAGTTTTGTTAGTATAATATGATCCGACGCTATAAAAGTAAACACATTAGCCTGTAAAAATCGCAGGATGCAGTAAAAAACAGACGTGCTTCCAATCCGCGAAAATCGCGGGATACGCAGTGAGAGGGTTAATATAGGTAAACTAAATCAAACTAAGTCCAGAAGAAACAATAGCGTTCAGTTTAACAGGTATTAATAAATTAGATAGTAATTTAGTACAGAAAGATATTTTTACTTTAAAAAGGTAACTGCTTTTATTAAAAGTAAATATCTGAGTTGTTTATATATAGAAACCAGCAAGTAAAAAGTACGCAATAAATGAATTAAAAGTTTATATTGTTTAATAAGCAATAAAATTGGCTTAAGAATGTGGTTAAGTATGTAAAAATTTTCTTTTGCGTTTAAATCTTTCCGACCATTAGCAGTGACAGAGGTTGGGCAGAAAAAATGTATGTGTGGGGCGGCCATAAAAATTTAGAGACACCTAAAAGTATCGACAGTATAGGGAGAAAACAATAATATTTAAAAATTTAGTTAAAAAATGAGCTAGCTTTCTTGGACACTATTGATTGCTTGTAACTCCTAGTTTTAAGCAGCTAAAATGAAATAAAAATTTAATTCTACCCTCAAAAGTGAAGGGGGGGGGCTCGACTCGCCGCCATAAGGGCCGGATTTATACATTTCAGGACAAGGACCTAGGACAAAAGCACTTAATTCTACGTCCTTTCCCCTCGTTCACACAAGCAACTACAGAGATAGGCATCATAAATGTGTCGGAAGTTTATTTAATTTGTATAGGTGTGCTTAAAAAATAGTACTTTATATGGTCTTTTCAAAATAATATTGAAATTTCTAAATAATTTATTGTAATTTTTTTTTTATATTTGCGGCTTTCGATTGTTGCACCCTAAGCCATGGCCTGGGTTGGCCCAATGAAAAATCTGGCCCTGGCCACCAATGAACATTAAGGAAGGAAATATTAATTTTAATGATGGTGAGAAGCACGGTATAATGTGGGACCTCATCTCTCCAATCCTACCTACCACATCACAACAGCAATTTGCAGTTACCGACTACAGGGAATGTTATGAAAACTCTAATCGATTTTACCCCTTCTGAGGTCATGGGAAATATCGTCGCTAAGAAGCAACACCACCTATCTCAATTTTTTGAAATTTCAAAGAAGATCCAAATGAATTTTTCGCAACCAATAAAGAATATTGTCAAATTTTTTTTATTCACGTCTGGTTGGACATATGGTCTCATGTTCATAGTAAATCTTAAAAAAATTCAGAAATATTTGTTATTGGTTGCGAAAAATTCATTTGAATCTTCCTCATTGAAATTTAAAAAAATTGAGATATGTGATATTGCTTGTTAAGCGACGATATATTTACCAGCAAATTCATCAATTTTTAAATATCCATCGTTAGCTAATTTCCACCTTTGATTAGAGCTTCTGTCTCTGAATAACTACCATAAATAAAAGTCATAACGAATTGTTTTGATCTCTTTATTAATTATTACTTAATAAAATTGATTAGCAAATCAGATTAATTTCATTTAATAGAATAAAGGATTTTATTTTCTTAAATCAACTTCAATTTCAAAAATATTTTAATATAACGTTACTAGAAAAAAGCGGCACTTAAATGCATTGCCCGAATAGGGGGCTCGAACCTTGGATCGTCAAGTTGAAAGCTTAACGCTCTACCGACTGAGCAATCCGAGCCCTTACAAAGCACTTAATGTTAAAATTAATATCTAAATGGATAAGAGTCATTTTTATGAGTCTGATAATTCTTTCAGCAGCATTTCACCAGTAGTAACACAGCAAATATATTTATCCATTTGGATATTATATAACAACTTTTTGCGATTTTGCTGTTCAAATTGTTATATCATGATTTGTGTAAAAATATGATTTTATACGCTATTGAAAATATTCTAGTATTTTAGGTAATAATAGTAACAATAACTTTAAAAAGATTTTGTTTTGAAATTGAGACTTCTATAAACAGTTTATTTTTAAAACTAAAACTAACCACTTGGCAGCGGTGGGATTCGAACCCACGCCTCGAAAGACTGGTGCCTAAAACCAGCGCCTTAGACCACTCGGCCACGCTACCTCGCTCGTTTGCCAGATAGGACACTAAAAAGTGATATTATAGGTATTGTGAGTTATCAGCTGATAATAAATGCAAAGCGGAAAGATTTCAGAACGTGATAAGTAATTGATGATTGAAATCATGTTACTATGTCATTATGTTTTCATTAAAACACAATTAGAAAGTGAAAGTGGGCATAAAATCTGTAGAGATGAATTAGAGAGCGAATCACTTCCTTTTTTGGATAAAAACACCCAAATATTTTAAAATTTTATATAAATAATCCAGACACTTGAGACAAAAATGGGATATGTAAAAAGTGGAAGTTTTTAACGGTCTCATGTTTGAAACGGTTAATTTATTTTTAATCGATATCTAAAATATTTAGAGCTGGACATTTACGCGCGCGGTCACTCCAAGCAAACGGAGTAGTGGCATTCCACACTATTTCATTTTTCAGCCCATCCATTTAAATATGACATTCATCACAAGGCTGTTCCAATCCATCTGGAGAGCTTCTTAGAAGACCGTTTCCATTTTGAGCCATAAAATTTGGTGGGTCATTCACATTTCGGACCTTACCAACCGCAAATCCATCACCTAAGGGCAACCGAATCCCCTAGGCTACTGCGCCTCCTCCTCCCTCCCGCTATCCAAATGGGTTCTCCCGCCCTGATTTCCCCAGACTGACTCCCACCCACCCTCCCTCTCCCCCATTTTGTGGCTTTCGCTTTTGTGAGAGAGGCTCGGTTCTCTAACCCTTTAAGACCGGACGTATTTTTGTAACCAATAAATTACAATGGATGGTATCTGCAATCTAATGAAAAAATAGATCTGTAGAGATTCTGGAAACAAGAAAAAGCATTTTTTTCCGGCATTTACTGCATGCAACTAACCTGGAACGGAAATATAAGCTAATCCGTAACCAGCACGATAGTACGGGCTCTGACTTAAAGTGCTAACCCACTATTGTATTTCAGTTTTATGGCCTAGTAGGCCGAATGAAAATCCACACCGGATGAAAATACAACTTTTTCTCGGTGTACTCCATTTCTCATCGGTTTCTTACACTGACGAAAGGTTTTGGCACGCTGTGTTCCAAAAAAAGTGGAGTGGCTTACTAGTGAACAGTGACGGCGATTGGGTGGCAAAAGTAGGGGGTCAAGAAATTATAGACACCTAAAAGTATTCGGGAGTATATGGGGTAGACAACAAAATGTAAAAAATTAGCTACAAAATTAGCTAGCTTTCCCGCACCCTATTCCTTTTTTGCCTAATTCCTAGTTTTAGGTAGGAAAAATGAAACACAAATTTAATTTTCCACCAAAAGTAAGGGGTCGTCTCCCCCTCGCTCCCCTTACTCGCCGCCACTGCTGGTGAATCTTCGCTTTAGGCAGGCCATTCCCGGCAGCTCCATGCAAATCGCAAAACCGTCCGCAAGAGGCCACTCTCGTCCCCTACCGCACCTACTTCTATCCCTGCCTTGAAAATGCGAACCCCTGACTGCTCCGATTTCCTCTAGAGCCTCACCCCTTCCCCACGTATCTACACCGGTCGCATTTCAACCTTTATGACCCAGCAGTCCAAATTTAGCATTTGAATTTCTAGATAAGATGAATATCCAAACTTTCGACCCTATCACGCCAATTCTCACCGGATTTTCACACTGATGACCGGTTTTGGCGCGGAGCCACCGACTTTGTGTCCAGTGGAGCGTTCGTAAGTGTCCAGCTGAACACATACGAGAAAGTAATGTCGGTAATGACGGAAAACACAGTGGCGTAGCGACCAGGGGCCAAGGGGGTACACATGCCCCGGGCGCCAGTCTTAGTGAGCGTCATGGAAACAAGAGACTTGTGCGTTTATGCCTGTTTTTAAAGACAAATACGATTGCAATATGCCCCGAGCCATTTACCCTTTCTAAATCAATGGCGATGGCTGGGGCGAAGTGATCATATTGTTACAAAGATGTAAAGTCTCTTTCCTGCCTCGCTAGTCTTATAGTTGGGGAGAGAGTGAAGCATAGAGTGACGGGCAGCGGCCATTCCGGGACCTCTGACCTTGGCGACAAACTTGGCGACTTTGGCGACCAATCGAAGATACCCGAAAATGTTATTACTTTCTCGATATTTCTATTTGGGGCCGATATCCAGTTTTTCCCCGAAAATCCTATGTGACATCACTGCTTATCGGGGAGAGTATAAAAAGACCGCGCTTGGATGACAGGATGTTGTTGATCGACTGCAACGACTTTGGAGTTTCGTCTGCCGAGCGAGCTAGAAAGCCGGTGCGCTGAGCGCTATTGAAAGTGCTGTTATTGTCATTATTAGCGATTTGCTGACTGTTTGTGTTGCTATATCTGAAAGTGCTGAACTGTTATTACTTGTGAATTGTTGTCTGTTTGCGTTGCTAATCTGTGCAAGATCTATTGTTCCTGTTACCTGTGCTACGTGTTTTCCTGCATGTTTGTGAATAAACCTTAATTTTCCACTATCCTGCATGTTGAGCTGTTTACACCACACACTCACAGAACGATTTTTGCTACAATTTTAAACCCGGACTTAATGGAAAAACACAAGTTATCAAGCCACAGGGATTAAAATGAGAAAAAGAAATACAAAACAGGTCTTTTTGGATATAGAGAGGTCTGAAATGGAGATTCATCAAAGTTTCGTGGTCGAATTTTTCGACTATCACAATGCTTCGTATACTTCATATATCTGAAAGTGTGAAAAATAAAAATCCACCCTAGAGACTGCGTTCATTTCTATCCATGCCTACATTATTAAATAGAAATCTGAAAAGCCCAACATCAGACCTTTAATTCCTCGGCTGTATGAGGGCCTTAAGACTGAAAATTCCATAGCTGTATCGAACCACAAATTACGATGAACCACTTCAAGTATAATAAAATTCCTCTAAAATATTTTTAACTTAAGCGTTTAATAAACCCTTTTATTAAACGCTTTTACTACGTTCGAAATGTTTTATGTTTGTATGTATATAAGGTTGGAATTTTGTGATCGATTTTTCACTCACTTCTTAATGCACTAGAGCAGCGGTTCCCAACCTTTCTGGTTGTGCTGACCGCCTGCGGTGTAAAAAAATACAGGGTGTTCATTAATTATTGTCGGGGTTTCTGTACCTCATAACTTTCGAATAAAAAATTTTACGCAAAAACCGATTACGTATTCGTAAATTACAACTCAAAGAATTTCATTAATGATATTAAAAAGATTAATGAATTTGCACATGGCTGCCCTTCGTGGCTCGTAACACATCGAGACGAAATTCGATTTCCCTCCAAGTGTTTTCCAGCATTTGTGGGGTAACATTTTGGATCGCAGTAACAATTCTGCGCTTCAGTTGATCAAGGGAGAGCACAGGGGTCTTGTACACAATGTTCTTGACAAACCCCCAAACCAAATTTAGTTTCGAAAAACCACAATACACACATTGCTTTTTCTTGCACGGTCGCCATTTTTATTTATGACGTCATAATTACCCAGACTGCAAATGCGCTAAGATCGCATTGTTGCCACGTAAAATTCTTTGAGTTGTAATTTACGAATACGTAATCGGTTTTTGCGTAATATTTTTTATTCGAAAGTTATGAGGTACGGAAACCCCGACAATAATTAATGAACACCCTGTATTTTGAGGCCCAATAAATAAATAAAAAAATACAAACACATATATACATAAACACATAAAATAGTACATATATACATACGATACTAATATAATATCGAGTGACGACACTTGAAGGTTCCCTGACTTCGACTGTTGACTAGCGTTCCCGGCCCACCAGTATATGTGGAGTATATTTGTAGGTGTTAATGCTCTGTTATTTCATATACGTAATTTTGAATTGAAAATTGAATGTGGTTCAAAGGTTATAGAGATTGTATTAAGTGCTTATATGTTTCAAAAATAAACGATCCTATGCTAAATTGAAAGTTACATATTAAATTTTTTAAAGAAGGGCGCAGGATATTCTTCGGCCAATGCAGTGATAGGCAAACTGATTAGTCAAAAGAGCCAAAGATCAGCAGCACAACGATTAAGAATTCTTTTGAGAGCCGAATTCTTTTCAAGAGCCATGTTTTTAGGAGTCGGCTTAAACTAGCTTCTAACATTAAATAAAACCACATATTATAACAATCGTACGTAGTCAAAATGGATGCGTGGCAGAGCAGCACACAAGTGGATAAAGAGCCACATGCGGCTCGCGAGTCGCGGTTTGCGGAACACTTGCCTACACTGTAAAAAAAATTACTATAAATTTGCAGTAAAAAGTACTGGCAATCAGGGTGCCAGTACTTTATACTGTAAAATTCAATTTTTACTGTAAAATTTTACAGTAGAAAAAAATTAAAGTGTACTGTAAATTTTACAGTAACATTAACCGATGTACTGTAAATTTTATCACAAATTCTAAGGTAATATGTATTGTTATTTTTACACGAACTTTTACTACAATTATAGGTTTCTACTGCATATCATACAGCACTTTTAAGTGTAAATTTTACATTAATATATACTTAACCACAGTCTACTTTACAATAACATTTATTGAAACACAGTAAATTTTACTGTAAAATTCACTGAAACGCAGTAAATT